AATATAAAAAAGAAATCGCGCGGCGGGGAGGCCGGGGCCGAATTTTCGGAGCCCACAGTTTGTGACGGCTTTCTTATTGTTTTTTAAAGCAGTTTTTTTAGTACAAAAATTAAAAAATTTTAACTATAAAGCTGCTTTAAGAAGCAGTAAAAAAGTCGTCACAAATGAAACCTAAGACTTCTGAGAGGTTGTGTTATGTCTTCCATGACTATCCCATGATTGAAAATGTTATTTATGTGATTGATTAATATTTCGTGCCAATAAAATAAGTACCTGAGACACTTCCTATGCTGAGGTCTATCAGGAAGGCTTACTTAAATGCTTGTAAATGATTTTATGACAGAAGATCTATCTTTTACAAATTTTCAAATATCTTTAGAAGGCCGCTCTCAAGACTACTTTATTTTATTCCTGTCATTTAAACTTTATGGTCTCTGACTCTCTGGTTTTGGTTTTTTTTCATTGATTGAATGCTTTTAAGTGAGGTATTGTATGTTCTGTACCAGACATTCTCTGTCAATTTCACATGAATGAATATGTTTTTTTTCTCTCTTTGTGGCGACTTTTCTGTTCAAATTCTTTGGCGCTTCCTTATTGTGATCAGCACATGTGTTTACTGGAATCTTGCTAAAGCAATGATGGTATGCAGGTTGATAAAATATTTGGTCCAGGAAATCAGTATGTTACAGCTGCAAAAATGATTCTCCAAGTACGTTTCATATTTTTCTAAGTCTTATGTTAGCATCAACACTTAAAGCTCTTTCGATGATACATATTGCATCAATATGTGCTTTTCTTTTATTTTCTTTTCCTTTTTTTTGTAATGATGGCTATGATTCTTTGAAACGCTTGATAAAAACTTGATTTAATGTGCCAACTTCAAAAACCAAATTTATGTTATTATCTTTCAGACATAAATTTACTTATATATATAGTAGAGGGAGGGAAAAGTTTGAATCGGGAGTTTGAAATTAGGGAATTATGGATTAAATAGTAAGAGTTGTTTAGGGTTAGGGTTATGCATGTTTTATGGCAGGTTTTCGGAGTTCTTGTCTTGGTGTCTTGGGCCCTAGATTTATCTTGGAATTGGGAGAGAAGATCCTCCTCTCGAGTTGAGGATCAATTGTATCTTGTTCTGTTTCTTCATTTAGTTGATTTCCTTCAATCAAAGGTGTTGTTTTGCTGAAATTTTTCATCCGAATCTTGTTCGTTTGCTGTATTCATCTCTCTCGTTAGGGATTACTTGTATTTCTCAAGTATTTCCTAACACCTTCCTCTTATTTATGCAAAATGTGTCAATCTTTTATGTTTTGATGAAAATGATATGTGATTTAAAAGAATGGGTAAAACAATGAAATAACTTGGTTCGTTTAATTTCTGGTGCAATAGAAATCACATAATCTAGCCTGCAATGATCATTCAGAAGCAGACCCTCTAATGGAAACAACTAGCAGCTACTATTGATCCAAATAAATGAAGAAAGAAAACTAAGTTTTGTGTGATGAATTCCTAACAAAAGAAAATCAACTATAAGAGATGAGATCATATAAAGCTTCACAGTTGAACAAGCATGAACTTAACATCCAAAGAGATCAATATTCAGTGTCTAGTTTGGTGAGACTTACCTAATAATAACAAAAGGCTGAAAATTTCAAATATAAGTCCCACAAATTCGTTTCTTTTTTGGAATCTGAAAATAGGCTGCAAAATACCTTAGCATCTTATTGTTAAGTCAAGAACGTACCTTGACAGAAACTGACATTCTGTATGCTGAAATTTTATATCGTGCTTTACAATGACCTCATGACAGTCTTCGTAGCAGGTTAGAGACTCTTTTTCCATTGTACAAGACGTTGGATTGACCCTGTATTGATTATCTTATACAATCAACTTAGATAAGTGAACATCCGATATTCTGTTGGATTTGATAAAGATCGACTTAGCCAAATCTTCTAAACGTAAAACTGATAAAATCCAAAAATCATCACTGCATATTGAAGACATGAAATAATGACTTAACACAACTATCTTGTATTTCTCTATTTAAATTTTGATCTCCACAACTCTTGCCATGTATGAGAAAAGAAAAGGAAAAAAGATAATTGTTTTGTCCTAGTTATTTCTTTGCTTTCCCTTACTGCATAGCCCAAGGAATTTAGGTGCATCTACCTCTTTGCTTAGGAGCTTCTGCTCACTATAATGCATATATACTTACCAAATCTTTGGGTCTGCTTTAATTTTCTAAATATGCAGTAATCTAAAGCTGATTGATGTTGCTTTGATTTGATGGGGGAGTGTTTACATTAGCTTTGTTCATTCTAGTTGGACCATGTTTAGTGAGGTGTTCTCCTAGACATTTTATTCATAATCTTATTTTAAATATTGTCTTCCTCTACTAAATAAGACATGCCTAAATCCCTTCTTCCCTCAACAAAATGGATGTGTGAAAAATTTAGAAAGTATAAATTAATAATTAATTATATTAGTGGAATGATTGAAGTGACATCTATTGAAGTTAAGTTAGTTCACAATAGACTTGAATGATTTGTATGTATATAATGAAATATAGAAAATGCACATTAGACTAATAGATAAAATTATAATCAGAGTTATGAAGGAAAAAGGGGTAGAGCTAAGGCAACATGGATAAGAGTTATTCAAAATGATTTGTGAAGAATAAGTTTAACATCTCATGAAACTTTAAGAATGAATGTATTGAAAATGAGGATGCATAAAGGCGACCCCAGATAGTTAGAATAAGATTAATGGCCTTGATGATAAGTAGGGGTGTCAATATTTGACACGACTCGACGACCCGAACCCGAATTGGGTCGGGTTAGGGTTAGGGATTTTGACTCGTTTGTAAATTCGGGTCTAGTAAACTCGAAATTAACTTGGTTTGACCCGTTTTTAACTGATTTAGGAGGGTTTTAGAAGATTGTTATGAAATAAGTAAATGATATTTCTAAAAAATAATAAATCATGTTGCCCAAATTGAATTAAGCCTTGCTTATTTTAAATTGATTGAAGTAAATCTTACCTTAATTCGATTTAGGTTTAAATAAATCAAATTAAATAAAAATATTTTAGTAAAACATACCCAACGGGTCGGGTTTGGGTCCGAAAAATCAACCTGTTTGTAAAAATGGGTTGGGTTAAAAAGTGTCGGGTCAGATTCGGGTTCAACCTGAACCCGACCCTAAACCCGGTTTTGACAGCATTAATGATAAGTTCAACAATCTTATTTTCTTTCTTTCTTCTGCAATCATTTTTTCTCCAGTTCTTTGTCATACTTATCACTAGGGTTGGCAAGTCAGCTGCTTTACTTTAATTTGATGGAATATTCAAGACTTATTACTTTGCCCTCCCTACTTTTAGAAAGTGGGTTTTGAGATTCTCCTTTTGTTTCCTTTCATGCAGAACAGTGAAGCGATGGTTTCCATAGACATGCCTGCTGGTCCTTCAGAAGTTTTAGTCATCGCTGACAAGTATGCCAACCCAGTTCATGTAGCTGCAGACCTACTATCACAGGTCTCTACTGGTAGTTTTTCTTGAAGGAACTTGCTTCCACACTACCATTGCTGATCAACTTGTCTTTTTCAGGCAGAACACGGGCCTGACAGTCAGGTGGTTCTTGTCATTGCCGGAGATGGTGTGGATATTGCTGCCATTGAGGCTGAAATCAATAAACAATGTGCAGGCCTTCCCAGAGGCCAATTTGCTTCAAAAGCACTTGATCACAGCTTTATTGTTTTTGCTCTTGATATTGCTGAGGTAACTAAGCAGTTTGTTATAAAGATCAAGTCAAGTCAACTTCACCGGCAGTCACCCTTTTAGTGGGGGCCCCAAAGCGCCGACTGCGGGTACAGTGGCGTGGGTGGCCTGGTAGGTCGGCCGGGTAAACCCCGCCAAACACGCTCGGTGAAGCCTGACGTGGCAGCGGACGTTTCTCGTAACCGAAAAAAAAAAAAGTCAACTTCACCCAATTTTATGCTCAAATTTCTACTGTTTTTTTTTTTTTTTTTTCAGGCAATTTCCTTCTCAAACTTGTATGCTCCTGAGCACTTGATCATAAATGTTAAACATGCAGAGAAGTGGGAAGGTTTGATTGAGAATGCCGGTAAACTACCCATCACTACAATTATGGTTTCGTTTGGGACAACTTTTTTTACTGTTTCTTAAAGCAGCTTCTAGTATAAAAATTTAAACTTTTGTACTAAAAAATTGTTCTAAAAAGCATTAAGAAAGCCGTCCCAAATGAAGCCTATATTTAATTCTCAATGACTCGAAGTAAAACTTGCAATTTTAGGATGATCATGAAAGGAATTACTTATGAAGAGCACTAAATGTTATGTTTCAGGTTCTGTATTTTTGGGGCAATGGAGTCCAGAGAGCATTGGCGACTATGCTAGCGGGACAAATCATGTCCTCCCTACCTACGGGTATGCAAAAATGTACAGTGGGGTGTCATTGGACTCCTTCCTTAAATACATCACTGTCCAATCCCTTACAGAGGAAGGGCTGAGGAGTCTGGGTCCTTATGTGGCCAAGATGGCAGATGTGGAAGGACTTGAGGCCCATAAGAGGGCTGTCACCCTCAGGCTTCAGAGCATGGAAGTTCCCATTCCATTGTAGCTGGTCTCTCTTCAGCGGCCATTAATGCTTCATTTGGGACGATATTTTTACTATTTTTTAAGCTGTTTTTTAGTATGAAAATTAAATTTTTGTACTAGAAAACTGATTTAAGAAGCAGAAAGAAAGCTATCCCAAACATAGCCTAGAACTCCAGGTTTGAGTTGTAAGTTTTTTTGTCTCATATGTTTGAAACTTCATTGATTCTGCATTTTACAAGACTTTCTCTGGCTACATTGAAGTTGCATTAGTGAGACACTGGAAATTATTCAAGTAACTTTTTTGCCTCAATTTTTTTTTTATGAAAAACAAAGTCTTCCCCTACAGTTTCATTCGATTTTCTGCTAAAATACTTTTCATGCGATTTCATGAGCAGCTGAAGCTTCTGCTAAAATACGAAATGGCTGAAAAGAAGGAATTTGTAATACTGAACCAAAACTGTTAGGTTAAGGCTAATATTTTTTATGATGAGCTTGATGAAAAGCTTCACTGGGCAATTAAGAGGAGGAAAGCTTTTGATGGTTGCAGTTAGGAACAATCATGTTTGTTTCATCCAGGTTTGATCAAAAGTGCTGAGAAATTGAGATTTTTTTTCTTGCTAGTAGAGGGAATTCGAATCCAGTGATAATCTGAATTTTTTTATTCATAAATAACCAAAGCACATGCCAGTTGCTCTTAACAAATTAAATAACTAGAGTACAAAACTTACAAGATCCAAATGAAAGATTTCGATGGGTTTCTTGTTTCCTTTAACGTAAAAGAAATAATAAAACAAAGACTCCAGACCAAAGGAAAGAAAAGCCAAACCTTGGCATAACAATTCTTCCAGACTCTGCGAGCGATCAAGTGATGGAGGTTGCGATTTGCGAGATACTGTGAAGTACAAATTGACATCGACCTCTTGAATCGAATGAGATTGGGAAGAAGAGGGCTGCGAAGATGAAGGCGGCGATGTCTTGAATGTCAAATTTGAGAGGGAAGAATAGATTTGAGAATCGTGAAATTAAGTGAGCCAGCAGTTGCAAATTACAAATTGATGGGATGGTCAAAGACGCTTGGGATTGATAAAATTAAGGCAAAATGAATTTCTTGGGGGGAAGGGCCATAAAATATCCAAAATACCTCTCTATTATATTATTATTATTTTAAGACCAACCTGATTACCTAATGTCAACTGCTACTTCAATTCATGGACAGTGTGGGACAAAACCTTTTCATAAATCTTTTAATACACAAGCTTTTCCTTTGAAATCCCTGGTAAGGAATGAACTAGAATATATGCGGCGGTAGAGTTGAAAATTTTCGTCTGAGTGTTGTACGAATATCTAGCACAAACAAACAGAAGATAAAAGAACATCAGGATTTTTACGTGGAAAACCCAAAAAAGAGCAAAAACAACGGGGCCATGCCCAGTTGAAAAGTTCCACTAGTGTAGTTTGAGATACAAAAGGCTGATTCATCCAACAAGTAAGGATGATCAGATTATAATGAGTTTCTTTTGTATTGAAATTCAGTTATAAAGTCGAGCAGAGTTCCGGCGTCACTCGGGCGTCCGATGGGATTCTGGCGTCGTTCTGACGACGGGAAGAACTCCGACGGTAATCGAGGAGGAGCTATTCTCTCCTCTCCTTCTCTTCTCTTCTTCTTCTCTTCTTCTTTCTTGGGGGTCCCGTCTTATGATAAATGAGGGGTCTATTTATAGTTTTTTTGGAGTGGCATAGCCCGTAAATAGGTGTGAGATCAAGGGCAAATAGGGAGTGGCCGAATGGACGGCTGATATTGAATCCTTCGATCACGCACCGTTCGTTGGACATTTGAAGGCCTTAGTGATGTCGGAATTTGGCTATATTGGGCTCGTTGGATTCGTCTCGTCGAGCCGTTCGATTTGACTATAATCTCGTTAAAATCGGAGACCGTTTGGTGACTCAAATTGTGGTACGAGCTTTCCAACAGCAATTCGGGCGCTTGATTTGGGCTCTTTTGGGCTTGGATTGAGTTGAATTTGCTGTCGTTGGGTTCGTATTTCCGAGACGCTCAGATTGACTATAAGCTCGCTGAAATCGGAGTTCAGATGCTCCCGGATTTAATTTTTGAAGTTTCCAACTTGATTTTTGCACAGAGATTCGTGCTGATCAAGATAATTTTATGATGATGCATCAACAACAATCTCATGTATTTCGAAGACAAAAATTCGAAAATGAAATAAAAGAATTGAAGTCAAAATTAATTAATTTGGATTTGACAAATTAGGGGCTACATATGGCCTTATTTTATATTTGAAAATTTTAATTGTACATCTCATATAATCAAACAGATATAATTAACAAATCTTATCTCAAATTATAAGTATATAACCTAAAATAGGTAAATTGCTCATGCTGAGTTCGAGTCAACCAATATGCTTAAAAAAGATTAATCTCATGGGTCAATTTGATCAGATTGAAGAAATTAATGGCAACATTTGGGCTTATTTTATATCATAAAAATATTAATGTATATCTCATGTAATTAAAGAGATATAATTAGAATATTTTTTTCTTATGATAAGATTTTATTATTTATGTATGTATTTATCTTTTAATATAACTTCTTTATATAATTTTTTACTCTAGTCTCATTCACAAATAGGTGTTCAGAAATCAAGCTTAGGAGCACAATTTATTATCTAAAGTTGTTTACTTTTGAGCAATAAAAATATTATAAAACTCCTTTATTTAGATTCTCTTGTGAGTAAGATTTGTATATTGCTCAGAGAAATATTTGAATTAACAATAGGAGTTTTATTTTAATTAAAAAGTTTATTCAACAAAATATGTTGAATATATATAATAGCGTATTATTTTAGAATTTGATAGAAATAGTGAAGTAACCAAATATCAAAATTGATATAACTTCAATAGTTTTTAGAAATATGGATATAGGAGGTTATTTTACCAAGTAGCCCACCACTTGTGTCATTACTAACAAAAAAAATAAATTAATAGATAGATTTTCTTAACAACCTTTTTGTACCATTTTCTTAACCTTTTGCTATTATTTGTTTCGATTTGGTTAAGGTTTTGTTTGTGATAGTTTTCTGACTACTTTCTAAGGCTTCGTTTGGGACGGCTTTCTTACTGTTTTCTAAAGCAGCTACCTAGAATCAAAATTTCTAGTTCAAGAACTTTTTATACTAGAAATCTATTTTAAAAAGCAATAAGAAAGCTATTCTAAATGAAGCATAAATTAATTTTTTAGTATAAAAATTTTTGTACTAAAGAATTCCTTAAAAATAATAAAAAAGTTGTTCCAAATGAAGCCTAAAAGACATGATCTATCTAATCACAGACATTATAAAATGCTAGATAATATTTATTTCAAGATACCATATTCTTTTTTTTTTCAATATTTTTAAAAACACGATATATTATATTTAAATGCTAAACTCATATATTTGATTAGCTTATTTTTAATTCATGATTTAAAAAAAAAATAAAGACCTTTATTATTATTATGAAGAAAAAATATTAATATTTGAAGATAATTGCATCAAATTTAAAAATTATATGTGAACTTATTTAAAAAAAAAAATTCATAAAAATTTAGATGAAAAAAAAAATGAAGGCATCCATAATAGTTTTGAAAGCAAAATAAAATTTGAGTACATGACATTTGACTTATGGCTATCTAAAATCACAAAGAAATAAAGTATTAAAAATGCATGATATTATAAGGGATTCTAATGAAGAATACCAAAATTTTCTTTATTCAAATCTTTTTTAATATTATCATGGCAACCTACCTTCCTCTACATCAACCTTCAATGAGGAATAATCTATTAATGTATTTGTGGACTACTCATTAGAGCTGTAAATCCTCTCGAACTAGTTTAATCTTTGGTTCAAGTATGGTTCGAGCCAAGATTTGTGGTTTGACCCAAGGTGCAAAGTGGCTGACATGATCTCTACTAACCCCTTCTTCTGCGATGAGCTCGATGTCATCACTTCCGATCCCATCCTTACGAATATCGAACGTCATCCAGAGACTAATCATAATGCGTCACATCAGTACTTCCTCGTTCGGTATCGTTGATATGACGCATTCTAGTTGGTCTCCACAAAACGTTCTGCATCCGATCTCCACACAGAAAAATTAGACATTAATTTTTCCATTAATACGATTGATAGAGTGTAAGAAATAAGAATGTTCACACCTCTTTTTTTATATCTTTAATTGAGATTTATCTATAAACCTTGCTTAGTCGTTAAAATAACCTCAAAATGATAAGGAAAAAAAATTACTAGGGATAAAGTGATTCCTTATTGGGAATATTTTAGTTCCAAAAGTATTTTACAAATTATTTATTTTTAAAAAATATATAATATGAATATTAGTTCAAAGAGACGCAGTATATTTTGAGGGATAAAAAATCAAAGTCCTAAATATCTATAATTCTATTTTATAGGATAAAAATTTTGAATTCTTTTTAAGAATGACAAGTGGCGGCTAATTAAGGAATAATCATTTTTACCTATTCCTAAAATATTATCAATATCAAAATATTTTAATATAAATATATGATTTTTTCTTGAGCGTTATAATTTATGACATACTCAGTAATACAAGTCGAATAGTTTATTCTACCGAACGTCAGCATATATGTCATATTTGAGACTCGTTCACAGGAACAATTATTATGTCATCTGACTGGACGTAGAGTTACGTTCGGACGCCAATAACATGTCGTCACGTGCTCTTGCTTTTTACTGCGCGGCCCGATGTCTTGACCCTGACTGGAACCCGGGAATGCTATGTTCGCGATTTTCTCGGTATTGCTCGGTATTGCTAGGTATTGTTTTGCAAAAATGAGAAATACCGCTCTGTGAAGACCAATACCATGCAATAACCGAGTTGTACCGAGTTTTTCTACAACTTAGTACAACTCGGTAGAACTCGGTATTTGCTCGGTATTGCTAGGTATTTGCTCGGTATTGGTTATTGCCGAGCAAAATCGACCAATACCGAGCAATCTTGGGTCCGTTCCGGGTTGGGATGTCGGGGCACTCGGTAAATAATGAAAACGCGTGGCGCCATTCTACTGGCAGTCGAACGTAGAGTTGCGTATGTTCACCGGACCAAATAAAAGTTCCGTTCACAGAACATGTCAAAAATAATTATAACGGTCTTTATTTGCAAAAAAAATGAAAAAAAAGGGGGTCAAATGACAGATTATTAAAAAATTATTAAAAATAGGCTAAATTATAAAAATACCACGTTTTATATGAAAATACTAAAAAAAAAACATATTTAATAATTAATTTAAAAAGTAGGGAAAACTGAAATGAGAAATCCGGTTTCTTAAGAAACTAAATTTTCTACTCTGATCTCTCACACTTCTGAATTCCGCTCGTGATATCCTACTCCGATTCCACACCCGTCATAATTCCTACCTCCCAATTTATTTTTTGGAATTATGGAATTATGTTCATTAAAATTTTATTGAATCTATTTTTATCAATTTCTAATTTTTATTATATGTTTATATGATAATTATATATTATTCTTTGATTCTATAATTAATTAAGTGATTAAGTTATTTATACAAATGATGTGAGAATAGAAAATATTAGATCAGATATCTCCATACTTTTTTTATAAAAATGGAATGATTTGTTAAATTAGTACTAATATAAATTATATTGACATATATATTTTCGGATTATGTAACATATATTATAAAATAAGTCTTTTTTCTTAATGTTTGCAACTAATTAGTATGGTAAGTGCATTTAAAATATTTTTTTAGTACTAAAAAAATATTAATTAGGCGATTTATATATAAACTGAAGCTCTATCATGCTTCATATTTAATTTGAGGAAAATTTAATCATTCTGTTTTTATTTTTCATTGCTCTTAGTTGACCAAAATTTTATTTAGGAATAATTATTATTAAATTTTAATTTGTTTTTATTTGTGTAGTAAGTGAAATTTATCAAAATTCAAATATAATACAATTTTTTGTTAAGATGAGCTTGTGGACCTTACAATTTTATAGGCAATCTGAAAGAATAGGCTATTATGATATGCATGACATGTTAATGCAGAATGAATGAGACATTATAAGGATCCTATGCTCTTAATGAGATTTTTGGACAAAGGAATCCAATATCCACAGCAAGTACACATTAATTAATTTTTACATAGGAATATAATTTTCATAGCAAGTACACACTAAAATCATAGTTTAAAATTTTATTTAAAATATAACAAATTATATGCATAATTAGTATAAATTATTCATTAATTAATTTACTATATTTTTATTTTAACTAAATATACAAATATAACTAAATTTGTAACTAATAAACTATCATAATTTTGTCAAAATAAATTATTACTCATATAATAAACTAAAAATAATTATTATTCATTTCAATCTTAATTAAAATATTTTTGAAGTAACTTCTTCGCCTCCTTCGAGGAAGTTTCTTCCTGCTGGACCCGAAATCCCACATCGTCGCCGTTCGTCTGTTTGATCGGAATTAACGACCATGATGAGAGCTTGCTCATTGCAAAGGTAGCCATCTTTCTTCCATTCGCGCACTTCTTCGGCCAAATCCTGTATCCAAAAGACTCGAAAGATATTGTAATTTTCGAAAGGGGCCACGTGCCATCACCGTTGTTTTTCCCAAAAATAAAAAATAAATAAAATAAGGGAATGGGAGCCGCATATCCCACTCAACTAAGCGAATTATTACGACAATAATCTAGACGCGCCATATCACACGGATACATTGGGCCCCGAACGTATCTGGGTGACATGGCGCGTCTGAATTGATGTCTGGACGAATCCGTACATTAATAATTTTCCTCTCCACTGTGGGTTGCTCTTCTGCTTGACCTCCTTCGCATTTGTTAGAGATTTGAACGAGGTGCTAAATAACTTCTTCACCTCATTCAATGACCTTCCTTCTTGTTGGCATGGACCTGAAATCTCACCCACCTCCTCGCCATTTGTCTGTTTGATCGGAAGTAACGAAGATGATGAGAGCTTGGCCGTTGCAAAAGTATCCATCTTTCTTCCGTTCGGCCAAATCCTGTATCCAAACAACCCTAAAGAATCCGTTCGAGCATTTTTTTTTAATATTTAGATAAATTCACACCCATATTATATTATAATTGTAAAACTCAAAATTAAAATTTTTTAGTTAATAGTCAAAACTCTTAACCAATAAATGAGATACATTTTCTGAAGGAAAAATGAATATGGAGCAAGAACAGCAGTAACTCTCCCTGTTCTACCATGCAATTAGTAACTTTCACGGAAATATCTCTAATCTCTATCACTACAGCACATCATATGAAAGGTGGCTACTAACTTTCTTTGACAGAATAACTATTCAAAAAATAATAATCTTTATGTATTCCACTTAATTAAACGTCCATAAAATTACCCACATGATGAATCCGGCATCTCCAGCGTCGTCTCCGGCGACCTTTCACAGCCCCCTGGCAACAAGTACCTAAACCTCTCCGCATTCTCAATCAAATACGGCGGCAGATTGATCGCCGACTGCGATTTAGGTATCGGCCCAATCTTACTTAAAAGCTCCTTGAAATTATACTCCTCCGGCAACATATCAAACAAGTCCCCACCTTCACAAATGATCCTCTGTATCCTCCCTTCATCCAAAAAGCTCGTCTTCCTCACTCTGTCCGCATGACTGTAAGCTTTCATCTTAAAAACAAAATCTTTAATCCTCCTGAAGCAAAAACTGCAATGCCATCCCGCGTCCGCTAGAATAAAATTACTTCGCCTCGAGTGCCGGTAAAAGGTCTCACCTTTCCGATAAATATTTGCCGTCGCTCGCCAGCTGCTGAAATCGACCAGGAACTCGAAAGAGTACATGTAATGGCGGAGCTCTAAGTGGAGAATGGAGGGGAAGCCATCGCACCATCGGAGAAGTTCGATGGTTTCAGGGCTGGGGATTTCGTCGGCGTCGGACATGATGAGAAGATCGTCATCTGTGATGCCGGAGAGAGAGATGAGGGAATTCATGGCTGAGCGTTGATTGGATTCAAAGTCGAAGGGGGGGAGGGGAGGATTGGAGGAAGGAGGGGTGAAGGAACGGTAGATGATTTTGTGGGAGGCGAAGGAGAAGATGGAGCAGTTTTTATTGAAAAGAAGGGGTTTTGGGATGCCGGTGAAGGTGGAGTTTGATTCGAGGAGGAGGAAGCGGTGGATGAGGGGGAGGAGAGTGCGGTAGCGGAGGTGGAGGATGTCTAGTTCATTGCTGAAGATGACTGCGTCAAAAACGCGGCGAGGGGAGGAGCGAGGGGAGAAGCCGTGGAGGCGACAGAGGAAGGGGAGCGAGGCGTTGGGGGAGTGGAAGTGAGGGAGGCGGATGAAGGGACGGGGAGGGGTGTCCCAAAGGGGGCGGAGGAGGGAGGGGATGAGGTGCATGTAAAAGAAGAGAAGGGCGGCGCCGGCGGCGGAGAGGAGAAGGAGGAGGAGGAGCAGAAGGTGGAGTTTTCGCGGCATGGATTTAGCTTCGGGGTGGAAGTGGTCAGGGTGCTACTGTTCGATTGATCAGTCAAAAACAATGAGGATGTTCAATGAACAAGAAGATAAATATTTAAAATGAGGTATTTGCATTTAACGACCTCACAATACTTTTATTTGCAGAACCTTATGTTTTTATTTTTTTATTTTGCTTTTTTTGCATGCCCATGGAAGTCAACGTTGTTAAGGTCCTCGTGGGTTAATTTTTGCTTTTAAAAAATTTCCTATGACCAAATCAAATAGATTATTTTCATAGAAAGCAAACACACAAAAATTGAATTAATTAAGTAATAATAATGCATGACTTGGTATTTTTGAAATGTTATGAATGATTCTTGCAAATAAATGTGCTAATTATCATATTTTGAGCAAATATTAGAAAAATATTTCCATCATAATATACAAAAATAGTATCTCAAACTATTCAAATAATCCTAACTAGGCATACAATATTGTAAAATATGTAACAAAAGAATTATATATCAAAATGACATAGCAAAATCTTACACTAGGCTAATTGGCTAAGCGATTATGCCTTATCACAGCACCTAAGTTTGTGAAATAGTATGATTTTAATCTGACTGTGACGAGCTATCTAGCTAGTTATCTCGCCTTAATGGATTCAAAGAAGCTAATTCTTGACACCTTAATATTTTTGAACTTTCAATGCTAAATTTGAAAGTATATTTAATTGTGTTGAAAGAACATGAAAATAGATATATATGTATCTATAATTTTTAAAATATAAATTAAAAGGTTTTGAAAAGAGTTGGATTATGAAATGCCTAAAGTAAGCAAATCAAATTTTTTTTTTTTTTTAATTATTTAAAATGGCATGCCCTATATTTTTTATATATCTAAGCACTTCATATGAGGTCCAATCATTATAGGATGATCTTATTAATGTGTGAAAAAGTACTTGATAATAATCATCTGATAGTCAGTCCATCATAATCACATGATAGTCGTCAAATTAATGGCACATATATATAGCCAATCAATGTTGATTCAACTTAATTAATCATATGCAAATATAATAACATGATAGAAATAAAATTATGATAATTAACTATCAAGCTCAAAAGATTTAAGTATTTAAAATGAGTACAAACACCTGAAAGATAAAAGCTTTTTGGATATTCAGAAAGAGCTCTAAGTGTCAACAGTGTAAAGATTAATCTGAAAAGAGACAATCTACTAAGAAGAGAAAAATGATTTGGGTATATATCTAAACTCAAAACCAAAAGAAATTAGCCGTCATATATGGCTCAGTACAGGAAAATTTGCTATTACCGTCATACTTTCCGGCGGCAACACATACGTTGGAAAAAGTGGCGGCCTAACTAGCGGAAAATATGCCGGTAACTTTACGGTGGTAGTTTCGAAAAAGTTTCACCGGTTTATATTTTTCGATGCGCGAATTACCATCGGAAGAAATTCGCCGGAAAATGGAAGAGCATGATTAAGTCTAGGACATGGTATTTTCCTGTTGATTTTCTGGCTGATTTCTATTGATACTCACGAATTTGGTCCGCCTATAACAGAGCATTTTCCTGTAGTGGCTAAACAATATGATGACTTAGCTAAAAGTGCGTGACGAAATCACGGAAAGTCTCAATGAAAGAGCATGTTTAAGTCTAGAAGAAACTTGGTAAACAAATAGTGCTAGGTTAAGAATAATATTATCAAATGAGTGCATACACACTATAGAATTACTTAATTGAATGGGTAGAACTAAGCCAATGGTAAGCTAACCTAAAGGGCGTGATCAAGCTATGTGATGATTTGATTAAGGAAGCATGACTAATTGAAGGAGACTTCTAATTAAAAGAGCATGACTATTGATTAGTTGATGAATAATATAACAAAAATAGCTAAACTACATTAAGAGTATATTTTGTCAAATGAGTATGCCCAAAACTAAGATATTTCCTAGTTAAATGAGCATGATTAAGATGATACAAAGTATAGTGAAAAGAACCAGTTTATACCTCAGAAAGGCTCGATTATAATATAAATTATTATGTGCGGACACCAGACCGTCAGGAGGCTAATCAAACGAGCCGCGTCACTCGGTACACAGCCATGGTACATAACAAATGGGTGATGTGGCTCATTCTGTTTCACCTCCGGACGACATCTTTATCTGCACAGATTAATTTCACCAATTATAAAGACATGACTAGTGAGAATACATGTCAATCAAAAAGAGCATGACTAGACTATCAAATACGAATCTAGTCAAGATATAAATTAAATTGTCAATACATATAAGCAATAATATAATAGAATAGATCAGAGTGATCTATGAAAATATCTCGAAGGTTTGATTTCTAATTTTCAATTAATTTTAATATAGCTGATATGTGTTGTGAGCTATTTTTTCAAAATTTAAAATTCATTGATTCTATAATTAAATTCAATCTATAATTAAATTTGTGATATTTTAACATTCCATTTATTAAAAATTATATTAAAAAAAATGATAATTGTACGGCAAATACATCACTATGGGAGAAAGTCCAGGTCTTAAATAATAAAAAACAAGTGGTTCCAGCCTTCTGAGGCCATGAATATTTTTAATGGAAAACTGACCTAGCGATCATCGTTGGAAAAATTATTAGGTGCGGAGTATGCATCGTTCGTATAAATATGAGTATCTAGCAGTATTCAGCGGTATCAAATACTGGTACCTAGTGCGAAATAAGACTTGTGCGGACGGTTCTCCCCGTCCGCACTCCGCACCTAATAATCTCTCTCATCGTTGGCTTTCTTTTAGTGCATAATCCTTCAATAAATAATAAAAATATTTAAAAGAAATTTGGATGAAAATTTTAGATCTATTTTAAAATGAATGTGATTCTAAATTACTTATGCAAGAATTTAATCATTATAACTCACTCGTCTTAATATAAATTTAAGTTTTCATGTTAAATTTATTTTATTAATCGATTAATTTTTATCTTATATTTATTTTAAGTTAAATTGAATTAATTAAATATTTCTATTATTAAATTTAAGTTATAATGTTTTAGTGTAAATTTTTAAATGATGATAAAATTTGCCTAAATATGGGCTTAAATTATAAATTTTTTTTAAAAAAATTATGATGTGTTCTTGCTTCCAAGATTGAGCTCTCCTCAAGGCCATGAACAAAATAAAATATGATTAATTATAGTTTTAGCCATTCAAGAAGTTCGCACATTGGTTGGAGTAAAAATCATAGAAAATTTTGCTCTAAAAATTTTTAATTTATTTGAAACTAATTTCAAATGCTTCATTGGGCTTTAAAAGTACTGAAATTTAGTTCACAACAATAACAACAATAATAACATTAGGTAAATAAATTATTTTCCTCTGTTTTGTCATATCATAAGTTAAATTCTCATTTAAAAGCAATTTAATTTAGCGAACGGTGCATAATCCGCAACGGTAGTGTTCTGCCATTCTTTTGAGTAGTCGTTAAAAATTTCAAAATAACTCCGCAACGGTAGTGTTCTGCCATTCAAATCTAATAAAAAAAGACATTTCTAATACTTTCTAACCAAATCTTTTTTAGGCCTACCTCTACATTTA